TGTTAATGGATGAATGAGTGAATGTGTTTATGGATGAATGAATGAATTGGTTAGTGGATGAATGTGTTTATGGATGAATGTGTGAATGTGTTTATGGATGAATGTGTTTATGGATGAATGAGTGAATTGGTTTATGGGTGAATATGTTTATGGATGAATGAGTGACTGTGTTTATGGATGAATGAGTAAATGAATGATTGAATGCATTTATGGATGAATGAGTGAATGGATGATTGAATGTATTTATGGATGAATGAGTGAATTGGTTTATTGGATGAATGTGTTTATGGATGAATGAGTGAATGGGTAAATAGATTAATGTGTTAATGGATTAATGAGTGAATGGGTAAATAGATCAATGTGTTAATGGATGAATGAGTGAATGTGTTTATGGATGAATGAATGAATTGGTTAGTGGATGAATGTGTTTATGGATGAATGTGTGAATTGGTTTATGGATGAATGTGTTTATGGATGAATGAGTGAATTGGTTTATGGGTGAATATGTTTATGGATGAATGAGTGACTGTGTTTATGGATGAATGAGTGAATGCATTTATGGATGAATGAATGCATTTATGGATGAACGAGTGAATGTGTTTATGGATGGATGAATGAGTGAATGTGTTTATGGATGAATGAGTGAATGTGTTTATGGATGAATGAGTAAATGGGTAAATAGATGAATGCATTAATGAATGAGTGAATGTGTTTATAGATGAATGAGTGAATGTGTTTATAGATGAACGAGTGAATATCAAGAAAGCAGAAGCTAAATAAAGTGCTAGACCAGTAAAGATGTTAATAAAAATGTTCTCTTGGTTCATTCTCTCCACAGCGCTCACCCTTCCCTCCTCCCTGAAAGCCTAAGTCTAGTTGTACATCTTTGCTCCTTTCTGCTCCTCCTTTTGGTTCTCGTCTCTCCTGCTGTCTGGTCGATCCTACAAAATCTTCTCCTTATCTTCCTCTCACATTTTCTGCTGTTCTTCCTTCAGTTTCGGACCAATGATCCTCCTCCTCTCTTATTTACTGAAATCATCTGGAAACATCTTCCTCTAGTTGGTTGGTTGAAGCCATTTCAATGACGTCGCTCCAAGGATGGAAACGGCTATGACATTATAAACCGGCTGGATAATGTTTAGATTTAATCATATTGATTTAATCTGCTGGTTTTGGTTGTAATTCATAATGAGAGCTGAAATCTGTGGATCAGTCTTTTATTTTGTCATTTAAAACTGTTTGATAACAGGGATGATGGGAACGTTGGATAAAGGATGGGATGAAGATCAGAACCAGCAGATCCTGAGGAGGAGGAGCTTCATAGTAATGAAGGAGGCTGAGGGTTTGATAGAAGAGAGAAGGATGCTGAGATGGAGAATTGATCAGCTTCAGAGACGCCTGCAGACAGCAGCTGCTCATCATTCCTCCCTGAAATCCATCATTTCGAAATAATTCTGAGTAAACAGGAGCTGGATTAACGCCATAGGAACAAAGTGCTTGTTTTATTTTATAGCTGCATCAAAATTATTCTATAATTATTAACAATTTAAAGCCAATATCTCCTTGCCCTTTTTAAACCAACCAGAAGTATTTTTTATTGCTTTACAAAGAATATATTTTAGTTCAAGTTGCATTTTTACTTTACAAAGGTATATTCAGGAATATTTCACATGTTTATGCATCTCAATCCAAGTAAACTAGAGCTGCAACTAAGAAACATTTTGCAAATCCTTCAATCTGTTGATTATTTTCCATTAAAGCTACAGTGTGTAATAATTACAGGCATATAAAGTCAGAAATTTAATATATTATACATAACTATGTTATTTATCATCACCTATGAGCTCAGCCTTTTAACCTTAATATTTGCATTGCCTTAGAATTCGTTATTTATAATTACATAGGAGCGGGTCTCGCAGCCATGGAGGCAGACATCTTTGCGCTACGGCAAGCGCAGAGGCAACAAACTAGCGATTGCGAGATCTCCCATTACGCTCGAAAATAACTACGGCAAGTTGAGAGAGATGAACTGAGACGGTACTGAACAGTAGATGGCAGTACTATGCCTGAGAAGCGTTTAGTCTGCCTGAAACCAAAGACGAAGAAGAAGCAGGTATACTGCGCCTCAGTAACAAGAAAGGTGAACAAGGCGGCAGGCGTGAGTGACTTTGCAAACTGTTTGGCACTGTGTGGCCAAACATCAGACGAATGGAGGATCATGCCTACTCTGTATCACAACGACAAGCGGCGGACACCGAACCCCCGTCATCTAAGAAGCGGAAACACGACGAGAATAAACGCAAGCGTGACAAGAAACGACAAAAAACACGGATCAACATTGGCACGGCATTTACACGATGGAAGTCACTGATGGAGGAAAAAGGTTTTCAAAGTGACGCTCAAGTTGCCAGTTTTCTCTTGGACAGGTAATTAATCCTACACACACAATTGTCTAATATCACTGCAGTTTTTGGAGTACAGGATGCTCAGACCTGTCTAAAACAATAACATGCTGCGTGATGATGCTGTTACTCTCCAGTATACTTATTCAGCAACGTCCCTGACGTTTCACAGGTAATGATTCAGTAATTTTCTGTAAAATAATTTTCTGGATATATACCTCGGTTACTTCTCTCCGGCTCCTTTGGAGATCTTCAAGCCTTTCCTCCTATGCTCTCACCCCGCTAGCACCCCTCCCTCGCCTGGCCCTAGCTGCACGCCCACCACGGCCTCTCTGCCCTCGTCCTCTTCCTCTCCCTCGCCTTGTAACCCCCGTGCCACAAACATGACTTGGACTCTGTAAACGGGGAATATTCTTCCAGCAAACACAATCTCGCTGTTAAACTAATGACTACAATTACTTCGTCTGTTTATATCACCATGCAAAGCAGCTCACCAAAACGTCACAACGATGTAGAAAAAATAACGGGTATATTTATTATCTAAAGTCTACATGAAATGTATACCCTACACAGACTAATGAAATACTATCTGTAAAATTATCTATGTAAACAAACCTCATCACTTGAGAAGGTAGGTGATTCCGACGTCGTGGAAGACATTTTGTCCCGTAACGCTCGCCGTACTGTTGGGGGGGGAGAAGCGGTAGGGGGGGAGACGTTCATGTTGCTGCAGTCTGCAGTCTGCCCGCTAGATGTCGCTGAAAATTACACACTGTAGCTTTAATAATCGGATAGCCAAAGGTCCCTTAAAGCTTTTTTAAAGAATTGAAACCAGGTGAAAAATGTTTTTGTTTTTTAAAACAATTTTTATATATATATATATACACCTGCTCTAAGTGGATCGCTCTGTCAGCTAAAGGCATATTTTAGAGTCTCTGTTAACGATTAATCAATTACTAAATTAGTTGATCATTTCATAATCGAATAATCCGATCATTTCAGTCCAGTGCAACATTAATAATAAACAGGTCCCATTCTTTTAGCAGCAGTTATAAAGTGCAGTTAGAACAGTTTTATTATCAGTGGGAATTGGGGCTGTATCAGCCTTTCTAATCAGTCATATCTATAATTATTGATTAGTGTTTTGTTTGCCTATTTGAAAAAAGGCAAAGTTATCATGACTGTACCTGATTCTGGAAGACCTCCATATCTCCCAGAATCAGGGGCGGATTTAGGAAATGTGGGGCCCTAAGGAAAGACAGGCAGGGGGCCCCCTGAACTGAGAAGACAACACATAAAACAGACCTGTAATTCAGATAGAGAAATGTTAATAGAATAGACTTCCATAATCTGTTCTAGGTTTTGTCCCTCTCTTCTTGTCCCTTTTCTTGTAGTTTCCCTCTCTATGTTTTGTACTCAGCTGACTTTTCTTGCTGTCTCAAAAGGAATGAAAGATTTTTTTCCAAGCACAAAGCTCACTTAGCTGATTGCTATAGAAGCCTGTTTTCGCCACTCTGTAAAAAAAGAAAAAAAAAATTATCTCAATACAATGAGATAGTATCTCATTGTATTGAGAGTGTTGTCACGATACTAAACTTTTCAACTCGATACCGATACTAAGTAAAATATTCGATACTCGATACCCTTTTCGATACCAAAAGAATAAAAACAAAGACTCTAAAATTCAACAGAAATATTATCATTACTAAAAAAATACAATAAATAAATAAAAAACAATAAGAATAATATTTTGAGGTTGTATGCTGTGCACAATATTAAGCAAGCTTGATAAAAAACTTACAAAATAATAAGTGTTCCTTCCTTGGCTATGCTTTGCACATGTTTTTCAGTCTGAAACTGAAAAATGCAAAGAATTATTCAATCACACAGTGTTCAGAAAGTGCATTTTCCACTATTCTGCACTTTAGATGGTTGTATCGATACTTTTGAAAATGAGTATTGTATCCGGATACAACGTTTCAGTATCGATACTTTTTTGAGTACCGATACTTTTGACAACCCTAATATTGAGATATTATTTCAATATGAGATACTATTACTATCTCATTATAATGAGATAATTTTTTTCTTTTTTTTTTTCTTTACAGAGTGGTGGAACGGCTTCTATAGATTGCTCCTTCCGTTGTTTCCAAAAAGGCAAAAGTAAATAACCCAGTCCTTCTTTTCACTGTATACAGCTGAGACATACTTACTATTATCATCAGCGTTCTGACTGCATTTTAGCCAAAGGATTTTTATCAAAAACACAATTAATGTGCACAAATAAGGAATAGTTGTAAAAACATGTAAGCAGTTTTTATGTAGGCAACTGCCTAGCATTGCCTAAAGCTAAATCCCCCCCGCCTATATAGAGTAAACCTCTATCCTGGTAAACGCTAACCAGGCTGAAGTTCCCGCTGTGGAGATTCCTCAGGTTGTAAATTTATTAGGGCTGCAACATGAACGGGATGGTCAGCCACCATCATCATCATCATCATCGTCCAATTCAGAGTAGCTCCGCTCTATTCAGTACAAAGGTTCTGTGATCCAGAGAAATCCTGCATTACCAACCGGAGAGAAACACCAACAATACAGGAATGACCAAACTCCCCCTTTATTTATGTTTACTGAGATCTACACATCCAAGCACTCTTTATATACTTTATTAACATGTATACAAAGTAGTGAAGGAAGCTTTAGTCTGTCCCTCACTGCATTAACAGCACTGACACCACACTTTAAATAGGAAATCTGCTAAACGTATTCAAAGTGGTAAAACATCAATAAACAGATGTTCATGACATAAAACAAACTTCATTCATCTGGAAGTATTTAATCACCATTTCTGCGCTTCCTTAAAGAAAGCTAAAACTGAATATTGCTTCATTTAGTCAGATTCTGTAAAATAAAGAAAACACGAACACACAGGCTCCATTCGCACAATTTAACGCACAAACGTTTCCATTATGATATAAAAACTGTGACGCCGTCAGAGATGCAGCTTAAATGCTTTAAGAGCTGATTCTGGTTTCTTAGAAAAAGTTTTTTTTGAGGCTCAGCAGCAGAATAAAACCACCGTGTGGTCCTGATATGTTTTTCTCTTGCAGTGAGGTGGACATCATGGCCCCCCCCTGCTTCTCAGGGGTCCCTCTCCTTCTTCACCTTCACATCTCCAGCCAGGATGGTGGCGATCTCCCCCTGCATGAAGGCCCAGGGAACATTGGAGCCCAGCAGGGGACACTTGTCTCCGCTGGGACAGTACACCTCCCCAGAGGGCCCCTGGTTCTTGATGCTCTCTCTGGAGCAGGGGAAGCAGAACTTGTGGTTGGAGACAGAGGGACATTGGACAAAATGCGTGTCCTCTAAGCGCTCGTGGCAGATGGTGCAGCACAGAGGGCCGCTGTTGGCCATCGGAGAGTCAGGGACGCTCTGAGACGGAACCTGGTCCATGGAACCGGCGGACTGAGACGGCAGCCCGGCTTCTCCGCTGCGGGAGGAGAGGCGCCTCTGGCCGGGTACGGAGGGAGGAGACGCCGGGCTGCTGCTGTTGTGTCTGGAGGAGGAGGTGGTGGAGTGGACCGAGTCTCTGTCCTTGCTGGGGGAGTAGGCGGTCCCCAGCGTGTCCGCCACCGACAGCAGCGCGGCCATCGGGGACTGCCTGTTCTGGGGGGCCGCAGCCTCCGGTGGGGTGGATCCGCCGGGGTGGCCCTGGGTGAGGGGGGGCGGCGGCCCGGCAAACGAGCCCGCAGCCATGGAGAGTTTGAGAGCTTCGCTCTGGCTGCTGATCCACTGCTGCCTCTGCTGCTCCTCCAGCTTCAGGCCGGCCTCACAGTCCGGCTCTGGGGAGGCTTTCCTCTTCCGCGCCCCGGCCCTGCTGCTGCTGCCGCTGCCGGAGGATGGAGCCCGGCCTGCGGCCAGCAGGCATGTCGGCAGCAGCGGACAGCTGCCGTCGATGTGCGGCTGCGGGAGCATGTCTTCACCCAGAGCCTCTTTAAAGAAGCGCAGCGGCTCCGGTAACAGGTCCCCCAGGAGCCGCCAGTCCCCGGAGCCGTGCTTCTTCTCGTACTCCAGGTACTTGAAGCCAGAGGACAGCCCCCTGCCGAAGTCCTTCATGCAGTCCTGGTACATCTGCTTGGCCACCCCGGAGGCGCTGGAGAACACGTTCCCGGAGCCGCTCGGGTACTCGATGAAGATCTTCAGCTCGTGGTCCAGCCCGGTTTTAGACACGGCGTCAAAGGCGAAGACCCGCCCCAGCAGCGCGTGGTCCTTCTTGAAGCGGACATCGAACGGAGTGCAGCCGGACAGGAGGACCAGCGTGTCCCGGACCGGTTTGGGTTTACTGGCCCAGTCCTCCTGCCGGTTCCGGAGGCTCTCGCTCAGCTCGGCCAGCGCCTCCGCGTTCCGCTGCTTCTCCTTGACCTCCCGCTCCTGGTCGCTGCTGGACACGGAGGCGGGTCGCTTCCCGCTCGGTTCCGGCTGTGACACCACCACCATGGAGCCGGAGGGCGGTCTGCCCGCCAGGCTGTGCGGTGTCGGTCCGTTGGAGCCGGTCTGAGGCATGAGGTTCGGCGGGACCGGTACCGGTACCGGCACCAGCCCACCGTTGGGTTTGCTCCGGGAGTTCGGACTCTGCCGGTTCAGCTCCGGCGGTCCGTCGTCCGGCTTTAAGCCGTTCAGCCCCTCCGAACCCATTGGGCGGCCTGCTGCCGCAGCTGTTCGCGGGATAGTCGAAGCGAGCTCGGCTGTCCGGTACCGGGTTGTACCGGTCCAGGCCCGGCTGCTGAGTCTTCCCCTGTCCGTCCGCCTGGTAGAGGTTCTGCTGCCCCAGCGGGTCTTTCCCGCCCAGTAGGACCGCCTGGCCTTTGGCTGCAGCGGGCTGAGCCGCTGCGGAGGACCGGCTGTCCTGGAAGCCCTGAGCCCGCTTCAGGTGGCGGGCCGTCTCGATGACGAACTCGATCCGGTCCGCGCCCTCGTAGTTGACGCAGCCCCGACACACGGGTTCGGTGAAGTCCCAAATCATGGCCCAGGGCATGCGGGGCAGGTCGCACAGATAACAGGACTGTCTGCGGGACGAGGAGACCTGCAGGGAGGACATCTTCCCTCCGTCTGTCTCCCTCCCTGTCCTCCTCCTCCTGCTCCAAAAACCCGAAAATCAGAGAATAAAGGCGGCAGGCTGCTCCGCTCCCAGGTTATTGTTCCTCCCCGGTGATGTTGCAGCAGAGTGTGCAGAAGGAGGGGGGGTGTTGTGGTTTGTTCCTGCAGCCTCACAGGGCCCCGCCCCCCTCAGCCACACCGCCCGGAGGAGCAGGGACCCCTCTGCAACAGGATGCTCCTTCCATCTCTGCTCCTCCAAATGTGGAGGAGGAAGCAGCGACAGTTGCAAGATGGCGAAAAAAAACAACAAGAGAACAGCTCTGTAGAAACAGCCCCGTGTTAGAAGACCTTCCCAGGTGTTGTGACATTTGAGCAGAACTTAAAGTGCATAAAATAATCCACCAAAACAGCCAGCATCATTATTTCTATGCAGACCCAGGGTTCAACAAGATTTCAGCCTGTGAGCCTGAAACAACAATGCAACTCTGGCAACTAGGGCAACAGGGGCGGATTAAGGAAATGTGGGCAGGCAGACAGGGGCCCCCTGAATTGAGAAGACAACACATAAATCAGCCCCATTCTACAGATAGAGAAATGCTAATAGAATAGACATCCATTATTTGTTCTAGGTTTTGTCCCTCTCTTCTTGTTGTTTTCCTCTCTATGTTTTGTACTCAGCTGACTTTTCATGCTGTCTCTAAAGGAATTAAAGATTTTTTCCAAGCACTAAGCTCACTTAGCTGATTGCTACTTCATGTGTTTCCAAAAAGGCTAAAGTAAATAACCCAGTCCTTCTTTTCACTGTAGACAAGCTATGATCTGCTTATCCGTTCTCCATTTTTCATTTGGATGAAATAATAGCTGCATGAATCATGACAGCAGACAAGATAGAGGAGAGCGGGAGGCGGGGTTACCAATCTACTGGCTCTGGAGAGCAGAGTTCGCTGCTTTTAGATGTTGTCGCCAAAGCCTCCAGTAACAGAAAAAAGTTGCTAGATTTGGCGCTAGGAGCTTTTTTTAAATCAAAGTGCTAGAGGGGTCTGAAAAGTCGCTAAATATAGCGACTAAAGCACTAAGTTGGCAACACAGATCTTAGCATAATTTGTTTTCAAATGGTTTGCTGCTGTCTGTTTGGACCTTTCTGAACATGTTTAATAACATGTTTAATTAATGTGCACAAATAAGAAATAGCTGTATTAACCATACATGTAAACAGAGGGCGTTTCTCAATATCCATTCTTGAATGTTCTCGTGTGCTCGTGTACTCGTGACACGTCATCAGCCTCAGCCCGAGTACTGTTCCAATTCTCGAGAACGCCAGATCGAGCCACTAGATTTGGTGCTAGGAGCTTTTTAGAAATCAAAGAGCTAGAGGGGTCTGAAAAGTCGCTAAATATAGCGACTAATGCGCTAAGTTGGCAACACTGCTAGGAAAACAAACAGGTCAGTTTTTTTTTCAAATGGTTTGCTGCTGTCTGTTTTGGACCTGCCTAGTATTGCCTAATGGTAGACTGCTGGAGGACATAGGGACCCCTTTTTCATCATTCGGCTTCATTCTATCTTTATTCTCCCACTCTGCAGAATCTGTTAGTTCAATCTCTAACGTTCTGCTCTCTCTGCTTTTTCTCATAGTAGCTTCATCTGGTCTGTTCCTGTTTGGCTGTGACTCCATCCTGGAGAGAAATATCAGCTGTGCTGCTGCCATCAACACTGGTTGTACGTTTGGAGCTGGTTGACAGTTGCCTTTTATATCTATGCTTCTTTTTCCATGTCTGCTTCGGCCTCAGCAGATGGCCGCTCACACTGAGCCTGGTTCTGCTGGAGGTTCCTTCCTGTTCAAAGGGAGTTTTTCCTCTCCACTGTCGCTACAAGCATGCTTAGTGTGAGGGATTGCTGAAGAGTCAATGAGTCGATGCAATCAGCTGGTTTTCCTTAGATAGAAAACTTTGAATCAATCTGACTGGATGATCTGGTGAACTGTAAAGTGCCCTGAGATGACATGTGCTGTGAATTGGAGCTATAGAAATAGACTGAATAGAATTAAATATACAGAAATATAATGATAGGATTGTCAAAGGTTCCTCAAACATGTTTTTTTTTTACAGAATCAAACCAAGTGAAACTCAAGCTTTTCTACTTGAGGAGCTCTGGATAGATCAGATTGACAGACTATTATTATTTTTTTTTATTTTGCTGTGTCACTCTTTCAGCTAAAGGCGTCTTTCAAAATCTCAACACTCAAGTAGAGATGACCATGATTAATCTATTGCTGAATTAGTTGAAAATTATTTTTTTTAATAATCGTTTAATCCAATATTACTTTTATTCCTAAATTATATTCATTTTTAGATAAATACAATCAAAACGATGGCTTGAAGAATTAATAATAATAAATAATTCTTTAAATAGGTTAATTTATAAAAGGGATATTTCATTGTTAAATTGGGTATTTTACAATTTAATGATATATTGACTGAATTTAGGTATTAGATAAAGGAATAATTGTTAAATCTAATTATTTTATGGGATATTCACATGCATTTCATGATACATTTTGGCCCTCCATACACCTCAGGCATCACGTCACAGTTTAAACATTTAAAAAAACTTAATTTGCAAATCGAGTTTTTCTATTTTCTCAGCGGATCAGATCATGATCCAATCTTAGCTGTGCTGATGCAATCCGAGGACATCACACCTGCAGGAAGGTTGTGTTTCCTCTCTGCCAGCTCCTCACACCCCCACCACTACAGGCATCCCTCTGATGGGTACCCTCTGCGTTGCCATAGCGACACGCCTGCTGGCCACACAGAGGGGAGGAGGAGGAACCTGCTTCACATCACAGCTGAAGTTCTCTTCTTCTCTACACATAAATATGCTCATCATTTAACCCCTGCAGGCAGAAAGGATGACGCTTCTATTCCAGCTCCGCCTACATGGATAAACATCCATGCTTGGTCCAACAAAAAGCCTGAAATTCACCGGTTTCCATCTACAGACGATCGTTCAGGGCTCAGTGTGCAGCTCCTTTTCAAACTTTAAATCTAAATCACTGCCAACAAGTTCAGCTGAAGGACAGATGACCGCCGTCATACCTTTAACACGCACTGACGCAGAAAATTCACCCAGAACCAACTAGATTTCTAGATTGGCACCGCAGCAGGAGGCTGCTGGTTAGAATCCCAAAATCCAAGATGATTGAAAGAGAAGGCATCATGGATGCAGAAAAGGAGGAAAGGAAGACGAGAGACGGGTATGGGACGGTTTGAACCATCTCTGCTCTCCGCCATAAAGCCCAACACCAGATCTTGTCACCTTCTCTACAGGGAAAAACTTGCTTTATGGAAAGCCAACGATGCATAGCTCTGCAACAAGACCCTCCGGAAAATCTAATCGGGTACAGATTTTTTTTTTTTTGCTTAGTTTAAACCTTCTGTTAGAGACTATCTGTGAAAGAAAGTATGAGAAGGAAGGTCAAACTTCGGATCAATGCCACCCTCCCCACCAGAACCACGTCTCACATGTGGATCAACTAAGGCAGAGACATTTGTCTACGAGGAGAAAGAGGAGGACAACGCAGCCCTGAGGAGCACCGAGATGAGAAGATGTCGGCCTAAGCTGCTGCTGATCCACAGAGAGGTGGAGCTTCTAGGCGAGGATGTCCGAGGTGACGGCGTTAAAGGCTGAGCTGACAAACTGCACCGGTTTGGAACATTTGAGAACATCCCAAAGCCAAACCCACACGTCCACCAAGAAAACAAGAAGCTCCACACCTGCTAACCATCAAACCAAGGGCGTAGGTTTGATTTCCACTTTGGAAGGGACACTATTGGTCCTAAGTTTCATTCATGTCATTTTACCAATGCAAAAATATGCATGCTTTAGTTATGCCTGACATTAGCATCAGGGTGCACTTCGTTTAAATAGAAAAGCAGCATTTCTTGCTACATTTATAATAATTTAATAAGCACTACACACACTAGATGTTGTTTATCAATGTTTGAAGCGTCACCGGCTCTGATGAATGTGGAATTAGCATGTTTTTCCACTTTGAAAAGGTTTGCAGTTAAACTTACCAGTGACTAAAACAGTAGGTTTAACCAAATATAGTCTAATTATGCCCGTTATAGGTGGATTTATCCTGCGTTTTCTTTTGAAGATATATAATTGTGCAAAGGTAAACGGGTGAAACACACTCTTATTTTTTTAAATGCTCTCTCTGTATCATGAAACGACGCAAAATAACACATTCAAGGAACGGCAAATACATTTATTGTATTTATATTTAGTGGCATCATCTACAAAACACAAAACTAAGAATGAGACTTAATTTATTCCAAAATAATATCACTTTTAACAATTATTAAAAGAAAATATAACACCATGTTGTCTGTAATGTACAGGTGCTGGTCATAAAATTAGAATATCATGAAAAAGTTGATTGATTTCAGTAATTCCATTTAAAAAGTGAAACTTGTATATTATATTCATACATTACATACAAACTCATATATTTCAGATGTTTATTTTGTTTAATTTTGATGATTACAAATGACAACAAATGAAAATCTCAAATTCATCATATCAGAAAATTAGAATATTACTGAAGACCAATAAAAACAAAGGATTTATAGAAATGTTGGCCAACTGAAAAGTATGAACATGAAAAGTATGAGCATGTACAGCACTCAGTATTTAGTTGGGCCTCCTTTGGCCTGTATTACTGCAGCAATGCGGCGTGGCATGGAGTCGATCAGTCTGTGGCACTGCTCAGGTGTTATGATAGCCCAGGTTGCTCTAATAGTGGCTTTTAGCTCTTCTGAATTGTTGGGTCTGGTGTATTGCATCTTCTTCTTCACAATACCCCATAGATTTTCTATGGGGTTAAGGTCAGGAGAGTTTGCTGGCCAATTAAGAACAGGGATACCATGGTCCTTCAACCAGGTACTGGTAGCTTTGGCACTGTGTGCAGGTGCCAAGTCCTGTTGGAAAATGAAATCTGCATCTCCAAAAAGTTGGTCAGCTGCAGGAAGCATGAAGTGCTCTAAAACTTCCTGGTATGTGGCTGCGTTGACCCTGGACCTCAGAAAACACAATGGACCAACACCAGCAGATGACATGGCACCCCAAACCATCACTGACTGTGGAAACTTTACACTGGACTTCAAGCAACGTGGATGAAGTGCCTCTCTTCTTTTCCTCCAGACTCTGGGACCTTGATTTCCAAAGGAAATGCAAAATTTACTTTCATCAGAGAACATGACTTTGGACCACTCACCAGCAGTCCAGTCCTGTTTCTCTTTAGCCCAGGCAAGACGCTTCTGACGCTGTCTGTGGTTCAAGAGTGGCTTGACACAAGGAATGCGACAGCAGAAACCCATGTCTTTCATACGTCTGTGTGTGGTGGTTCTTGAAGCACTCACTCCAGCTGCAGTCCACTCTTTGTGAATCTCCCCCACATTTTTGAATGGGTTTTGTTTCACAATCCTCTCCAGGGTGCGGTTATCTCTCTTGCTTGTACACTTTTTTCGACCACATCTTTTCCTTCCCTTCGCCTCTCTATTAATGTGCTTGGACACTGAGCTCTGTGAACAGCCAGCCTCTTTAGCGATGACCTTTTGTGTCTTGCCCTCCTTGTGCAAGGTGTCGATGGTCGTCTTTTGGACAACTGTCAAGTCAGCAGTCTTCCCCATGATTGTGTAGCCTATAGAACTAGACTGAAAGACCATTTAAAGGCTTTTGCAGGTGGTTTGAGTTAATTAGCTGATTAGAGTGTGGCACCAGGGGCCATCAATTTTGAACCTTTTCACAATATTCTAATTTTCTGATATGATGAATTTGAGATTTTCATTTGTTGTCATTTGTACTCATCAAAATTAAACAAAATAAACATCTGAAATATATGAGTTTGTATGTAATGTATGAATATAATATACAAGTTTCACTTTTTAAATGGAATTACTGAAATCAATCAACTTTTTCATGATATTCTAATTTTATGACCAGCACCTGTAATAATATTCAAAATAAACAGCCGGATTCAAGCATTTTTACTAAACACTAATGTTTGTACTAATTAACTTATGGAACGTGTGGAAATCTGTGTAAAATAAAATCAATGTAAATAGTGTTCCTCTGTTTGTTTTTGAATTTATCCTATTTTTAAAAGTAAAAATAGTCAAAGAAATAGCAACATTATGTGGAACTGGAATTTGGTTTTCTAAACGAAAAATAGATGTTTAGGCGGCATGTCGTGTCGTTATACTCTTTAAAAGAAATAACACCTTCTATTTATAGCTGAACCGCCTCAAACGGTCGTCATAAAGTGAAAACAGTAATTGCAATGAAGTATCGTTCAAAGGGAAATCCTCACATTTTCTTTTTCAGTCGGCTGTGGCTAAGAATCAGCAATCAGCAGCTTTCACCTGTTTTAGTATAGATAGAATTAAGATTTTATTTTTTAAATTACGACTAGTTTCGTAGCCTAATATTAATTAAAGTAAGTAGCGTGAATAAAATTCTTATTTCGCGCCCCAAGCCAAAACCTACGGTCATGCATGCGGGTTAACTGGGAACCATCAACTCTCCGTCAAAGTGCTGGAATGTCCCGTCATCAACCAAATGCTCTCTGAGTTCGTCTCCTCTCCAGGAACATGAGCTGAATAAAATACTACAAAGAAAACAGAAAGCTCATCAAATGTTACCTGGTCTGCCCTGGCCTGGAGCCACGGGGGGGTGTTTCCATGGTAACCGCATCCATCTGTGTGATGGCCGCTGTACTGTCAGGCCTTCCAGGTTTCTGGTGCCCAACCTTTGCTGGTGGAAGACAGAGAAAACTAAATACAAAACATGTCCTCCCCTTTCCTTCAGCTCAGACTCTGGAATATCTTGAAAAATCAGATAAACTGACTAATATTTTAGTTCATCAGTGCTAATCATGCCTGGTCTTGCTTAAACATATATCCAACAGAATCCTTCCCCTGCTAGATTTTATTGAAAAGGTCTGGATGAACTCGTGAACTTTGCTTTTCTGCTGCAGAGTGAAGATCATCACAGCATCAGTTTTAGCGGCACTTTGGGGTGAAGCTCAGGCCTCAGTAGACGATGCAGGAGCCTGAACAAAAGCTGCAGGCGTTTATGTTTCAAGGTCAGAGCGATATTCTCCTAAAGCATAACCAAAATGGCCGCCTGTCCCACCAAAAACATTTCTTTTTATTAACTTGATTCTGTTTACTAAAACAGAAAGATGTCTCTAAATGTTTATGTTTGCAAACCTGCAGGTCGCAGCTGTGGCTTGTCCACCATGTTTTCCAGAGGAGGACCTTAGAACTAAATTATGACCCTCAACCTGAATGGGCGTCAGATTGACCGCCTTCACCTTTCCTTAGTCTCATCAGTGAAGCCGTGATCAGAGATGGAGATAAACGTGGAGGTAGACACTGATTGGACCAGAGCCGGTGGCTCTGCTTGAAGGTATGGGCTTGATAGGCTGGGCTGACTCACCTGCTGCTTCAGAGTCTGAAGTCATGGAACCGTGGCCTGTCACTATCTTGATGGCTGACTCCATTAGCTGGCTCTGATTGGATGAGAAGAGAAGCAATAATCAGTGAGAGGCTGGAAGGGGGAAGCAGCAGTCACAGGTTCTGAGCAGGTGAGGGAGTTTACCTGCAGCTGGAGCTGCTGGCTCTGCAGAGTCTCTAGGTGATGCAGCGTCTGCTGACTCAGGCCCCACCGCCGGCCATCAGCCTCCCTTAGATCAGAGCAGACAGTCAGGCCATGGAGGCATAGAGCCGAAAGTTTGCCTCAGTTCCAGTTAAAACAGAAGAAACGCTTCAAGGTGACAGAAAACAAGCCCTCAGCTCTGATCAAAAACACAAGCTTTTCATCAGCTTCATTCCTTTATCTATTCTTCTGGTTTTAAACACTAAAACTTGTAACTTGCGTTTTTTTTTTTCTTCCGAGCTTTTATCATCATCATTTCACAGTCACATGAAAAGAGCAACTAAATTTCCTCACTGCATTTAACCCATCCCCTTTGGGAGCAGTGGGCTGCCATTGTGCAGCACCCGGGGAGCAGTCTGGGGTTAAGGATTTTTTTCTTTTTTCTGTCTTAATGTTCGCAATGGGCTTTAGGCTGCCCTGCAAGGCTTTAAAGGCACACTATGCAACATTTTTCAGTTAATTAATGTGTTCCATAACGTTATGGATGATTAAATGAGTCATTTCAGGTCGAACAAAGGTATTCTCGGCCGCCCTGGTGGTCTGTGGGTGAAATACCGCACTTGCAATTGCAGGAGCCCTCGGCCCGCACCCACAGGCCCAGAAGTCTCGCGAGAGTCGGTCTTGCTTTACGGCGAGAACTGCTACACGCCCCCAGTTAAAATCATGCTCGTTGCTAGCACAGTGGCGATCTTTGTGCAGTTATCATGGCGGAACCAGCGTGAAAACAGCGAAAGCCCATGTCGGAGCAGGCAAGAAAGGAAAAGGGCTCCGGACAGAGAGAGGAGTCGTACACGGGTGAACATCGGGCAAGCTTTTTCCGAATGGCTAGAGCTAAAATGAAAAGAAGGCTGCAAGGCTGACGCGGACCTCGCGTTTCTGCTGATGCGATTGTAAGTAACATTGGAATGGTTTCTCTCTCTCTCTGTGTGCATGTTCATACTAGGGTTGTCACGATACTAAACTTTTCAACTCGATACCGATACTAAGTAAAATATTCGATACTCGATACCCTTTTCGATACCACAAGAAAAAAAAACAAACACTCTAAAACTCAACAGAAATATTTTCATTACTAATAAAATACAAGAAATAATTAAAAAAACAATAAGAATAATATTTTGAGGTTGTATGCTGTGCACAATATTACGCAAGCTTGATAAAAAACTTACAAAATTAAAATGAAGTGTTCCTTCCTTGGCTATGTTTTGCAGACATAACAATGACACCCGCCAAACCAATTAAACAAAAATAATTCCAAGCAGCTGTACCTGTTACAGAAAAAAGTGTGAAACTGAATAATGCACAGAATTATTCAATCACACAGTGTTCAGAAAGTGCATTTTCCACTATTCTGCACTTTTGATGGCTGTGTCGATACTTTTAAAAATGAGTATTGTATCAAGTGCTCATTTTGAGCCTGGATCCATATTTATTTTTTATTCTTTTCATGGTGGAGAATCCTGCTTCACAGCAGCAGGTTGAGCCAAACACCCTCTAAATGTGCAGGGTCATCTTTGAGCACCATTTCACTTTTCTTTCACCAGTTCACCGCAGTTCTTCCAGCAGTCCACACTTTCTCTGCTCTCTTTTTCTCATCATCTTCTCCTTCTTTCCCATCGCTCAGCTTGCCACAGGTTTGCCTTTTGTGTCTAAAAGTAGCAGCAGCAGCAACCCAGACTTATTGGCAAATTTGGATCACGTGCAGCCTGGTGCTGGACGCTATGGAGGGCTTTACCGTATTAACAGGAGAAGCACCGCAATTTAAGTTAGACACTGTCGTCAGATAACATGCGGTAATTTATAAATATTTTACATCAAGTTGGGTCCAGATTAGCCAGCAGGTGGGTCCGGACCCTGGTCCACTAATCCCTGACCTCTGACCAATTCCGTAACCAATAGACCACCACTACATTACTGCCCTCTACAGGTAAAGCCTGGTTACTGATGAACAAACCACCAGACATGGTCTAAATTCACTTATTCCCCATTTCAAAATCCCTTTTCGAGCTTAACCTGGAACAGGGAGGCAGGTCAGAGGAGAAGTCATTAAATTTCTGGCTGTATGATGAATATTTAAAATATCATTTTATCAGAAGGTGGCAAACAGGAAGCTGCAGGAAGTTTGCCTACCTGTTGGTTTCCAGGAGCTTCTGGACACTTTCAGACAACCGCGACATTTGAGCTTCTATGTCTGATTGGGCCTGAACACAGAAACACAAAAACAGACGTGTTGTTCAGGATTAACTAATGGAGAGCTGGAATAAAAGAAAACCTATTTCAATTCCATTTAACAGCATAATGTGTTGAGAATCAGGAACAAATCGTCAGCCATACTGGTTAAGGACAGACAGATTAATAAAATCAGTGATGAGCTGAGCTGCTGGAGGCGCCGCTGACAGCGAGGAGCAAACGGAGTCTTGTTGTGCCATATGACATCATCATGTTTTTTGGACAGTGGGAACCAGTGTCCAAATTGTTCTAACACACAGCTAGAAGGGCGTGTGTTCATAAACAACATATAACAGCCCAAATAATATTCGATTAAAGAGGGCAATAAACATCTTAAAGTATCAGAAATATAAATTCCCAGCTGGCTGGGAATAAAATAGAAAATAAAATCCCAACATTGATGTGACATCCTACCTGGATGAGCACTGAACATAAAATCACAACAGTCTGGAGAAGGAAAAGGAGGAGATGGGGAGGAGGCCTGGTGAAGCCTGCAGCAGATGCTGTTCTATACTGACACCTGCTGGATCTTAAACACCACTGCAGGCCAATCAGTTCCAACATCTGACACCGATTGGTTGACATAGTAGGCTATATAAAACAATATCAACTAAATTTCATTTTAACCCGTTCTTGCATATTGATCACGACACATTACTGCTGTTTAAAAGTCTTTCTTTCTATATATAAACCTTAATATAACCTAAAAATAGCCCAACCTAGTGGAAGCTTTTGCATCATCCCTTAAAGAAAACAAATAACTGCAATAGAAAACAAAGTCAGTGAAACAAAGATGGCTGACACACAGGGAAAAACAGCCCATTTCTCCTCGTCTACCCTCTGTTTAAAAAGTTACTGCTTGCATCGCTAATTCAAGCTTACAGGTGCTGGTCATAAAATTAGAATATCATGAAAAAGTAGATTGATTTCAGTAATTCCATTTAAAAAGTGAAACTTGTATATTATATTCATACATTACATACAAACTCATATATTTCAGATGTTTATTTTGTTTAATTTTGATGATTACAAATGACAACAAATGAAAATCTCAAATTCATCATATCAGAAAATTAGAATATTACTGAAGACCAATAAAAACAAAGGATTTATAGAAATGTTGGCCAACTGAAAAGTATGAACATGAAAAGTATGAGCATGTACAGCACTCAGTATTTAGTTGGGCCTCCTTTGGCCTGTATTACTGCAGCAATGCGGCGTGGCATGGAGTCGATCAGTCTGTGGCACTGCTCAGGTGTTATGATAGCCCAGGTTGCTCTAATAGTGGCTTTTAGCTCTTCTGAATTGTTGGGTCTGGTGTATTGCATCTTCTTCTTCACAATACCCCATAGATTTTCTATGGGGTTAAGGTCAGGAGAGTTTTCTGGCCAATTAAGAACAGGGATACCATGGTCCTTCAACCAGGTACTGGTAGCTTTGGCACTGTGTGCAGGTGCCAAGTCCTGTTGGAAAATGAAATCTGCATCTCCAAAAAGTTGGTCAGCTGCAGGAAGCATGAAGTGCTCTAAAACTTCCTGGTATGTGGCTGCGTTGACCCTGGACCTCAGAAAACACAATGGACCAACACCAGCAGATGACATGGCACCCCAAACCATCACTGACTGTGGAAACTTTACACTGGACTTCAAGCAACGTGGATGAAGTGCCTCTCTTCTTTTCCTCCAGACTCTGGGACCTTGATTTCCAAAGGAAATGCAAAATTTACTTTCATCAGAGAACATGACTTTGGACCACTCACCAGCAGTCCAGTCCTGTTTCTCTTTAGACGCTTCTGACGCTGTCTGTGGTTCAAGAGTGGCTTGACACAAGGAATGCGACAGCAGAAACCCATGTCTTTCATACGTCTGTGTGTGGTGGTTCTTGAAGCACTCACTCCAGCTGCAGTCCACTCTTTGTGAATCTCCCCCACGTTTTTGAAGGGGTTTTGTTTCACAATCCTCTCCAGGGTGCGGTTATCTCTCTTGCTTGTACACTTTTTTCGACCACATCTTTTCCTTCCCTTCGCCTCTCTATTAATGTGCTTGGACACTGAGCTCTGTGAACAGCCAGCCTCTTTAGCGATGACATTTTGTGTCTTGCCCTCCTTGTGCAAGGTGTCGATGGTCGTCTTTTGGACAACTGTCAAGTCAGCAGTCTTCCCCATGATTGTGTAGCCTATAGAACTAGACTGAAAGACCATTTAAAGGCTTTTGCAGGTGGTTTGAGTTAATTAGCTGATTACAGGTGCTGGTCATAAAATTAGAATATCATGAAAAAGTAGATTGATTTCAGTAATTCCATTTAAAAAGTGAAACTTGTATATTATATTCATACATTACATACAAACTCATATATTTCAGATGTTTATTTTGTTTAATTTTGATGATTACAAATGACAACAAATGAAAATCTCAAATTCATCATATCAGAAAATTAGAATATTGTGAAAAGGTTCAAAATTGATGGCCCCTGGTGCCACACTCTAATCAGCTAATTAACTCAAACCACCTGTAAAAACCTTTAAATGGTCTTTCAGTCTAGTTCTATAGGCTACACAATCATGGGGAAGACTGCTGACTTGACAGTTGTCCAAAAGACGACCATCGACACCTTGCACAAGGAGGGCAAGACACAAAAGGTCATCGCTAAAGAGGCTGGCTGTTCACAGAGCTCAGTGTCCAAGCACATTAATAGAGAGGCGAAGGGAAGGAAAAGATGTGGTCGAAAAAAGTGTACAAGCAAGAGAGATAACCGCACCCTGGAGAGGATTGTGAAACAAAACCCATTCAAAAATGTGGGGGAGATTCACAAAGAGTGGACTGCAGCTGGAGTGAGTGCTTCAAGAACCACCACACACAGACGTATGAAAGACATGGGTTTCTGCTGTCGCATTCCTTGTGTCAAGCCACTCTTGAACCACAGACAGCGTCAGAAGCGTCTTGCCTGGGCTAAAGAGAAACAGGACTGGACTGCTGGTGAGTGGTCCAAAGTCATGTTCTCTGATGAAAGTAAATTTTGCATTTCCTTTGGAAATCAAGGTCCCAGAGTCTGGAGGAAAAGAAGAGAGGCACTTCATCCACGTTGCTTGAAGTCCAGTGTAAAGTTTCCACAGTCAGTGATGGTTTGGGGTGCCATGTCATCTGCTGGTGTTGGTCCATTGTGTTTTCTGAGGTCCAGGGTCAACGCAGCCACATACCAGGAAGTTTTAGAGCACTTCATGCTTCCTGCAGCTGACCAACTTTTTGGAGATGCAGATTTCATTTTCCAACAGGACTTGGCACCTGCACACAGTGCCAAAGCTACCAGTACCTGGTTGAAGGACCATGGTATCCCTGTTCTTAATTGGCCAGCAAACTCTCCTGACCTTAACCCCATAGAAAATCTATGGGGTATTGTGAAGAAGAAGATGCAATACACCAGACCCAACAATTCAGAAGAGCTAAAAGCCACTATTAGAGCAACCTGGGCTATCATAACACCTGAGCAGTGCCACAGACTGATCGACTCCATGCCACGCCGCATTGCTGCAGTAATACAGGCCAAAGGAGGCCCAACTAAATACTGAGTGCTGTACATGCTCATACATTTCATGTTCATACTTTTCAGTTGGCCAACATTTCTATAAATCCTTTGTTTTTATTGGTCTTCAGTAATATTCTAATTTTCTGATATGATGAATTTGAGATTTTCATTTGTTGTCATTTGTAATCATCAAAATTAAACAAAATAAACATCTGAAATATATGAGTTTGTATGTAATGTATGAATATAATATACAAGTTTCACTTTTTAAATGGAATTACTGAAATCAATCTACTTTTTCATGATATTCTAATTTTATGACCAGCACCTGTATGTTTTATGTTGACGCCTTCTGGCGTCGCCTCTTTCCATTCATGATGCCAAACTGTCTTCATACTCTATGTGATAATGAGAGCTGCTGCAGTACAGATATAGCTGGACTCTAGTCAACAGATACAGGACACCAATAACACTTTCCCACTGGCTGAAAAACCGGTTTCAACCGGGAACAATGTGCTTTCAGTGGCAGTGGGAACAGCTGACTGACGCGTATCTACCCGGGACAAACGACTTGGGGAGAGACCAATGTTAAAATCGCCTCAGCCCTGATAGGCGGGGACACCAGAACCGGTGTTCTTTCACATCAGCATATCGGGTCAGACAGCATACCCATAGCCAAAAACTGTTTATCTCTTTAGTTTAGTATGAAAAATAAACTTTAAACTACCTCATCGGGCGTGTATCCATTTAGTCATGTACAAAAAAATAAAAATAAATTTCAGGTCAGATCGCCATACGCTTGAAAAAACATATTTATTACTTACTTTTGGTGTTTTTTTTAAGTTCTTTAAAAATGGCTGAGGGTCAGAAGAGAAAAAGTATCTATGAAGTGTATAAGAAGAAGAGGCAGGTATATCCCAGAATGCTTTGCATGGGGATCTCTCCCCGCCCTGACCCATGACCTCTGACCTGTGCATTACTACATAGTGACTCAGGTTACTGACCGTTCAGATAACGTTCCTTTCCTGTTGATCATGTGACTCCGGCTCCCTCTACCATCTCTGCGAGAGAACAAAGGTTCTTTCTCATCCCCAAAACAAATCCCAAGCTGCATTGCAAGGAGAGCTCTTGCAAAGCATTCTGGGACATATCTATATTGTGGGAAATTTTAAGCCTACTACTTTTTCCTCCCCTAGAGGTTCAGACGCTCATATAAATTGGTGTATAGTGCTCTATGGGGGGGTTAGGGTGGATGAGGTCGCCTCAGTCATCAGTGACATCACATTCCCATGCGTTTCTATGCAGCCCAGGTACCTTGAACAGAGGAGCTGCAGCAGCCACAGCTGCAGCAGCTACTGCTGTTCTGCTGGCGTCTTCCAGACCAGATGAAGCCCCGCCCTGAACGCCCACTGCATCCTCAGCGCTCTGATGGGACGGTGGGTTCAGGGTCAGCCTTGGTTCCAGCAGCTGGACACTGACCTCCCTCTTCTTGGTACCAAGGCAGCTGAGCAGAAGGAATGATGGGAGATCAAAGCTGTTATCAGCCAGGCTTCATATAAACGACCACCATCCCACCACCGCCTCCTTACCGCTGTCTCAGAGCGCCAAGCACGACGCCGCGCCCTCCAGGCTGGTAGCATGACGTCTGGAGCTCCGGACCTGAGGGGGAAGATGGAGCAGGCTTTAAAGTTTCACCACGGAAACACTGACTGATGTTAGGAAATATTCACCCCTCACTGATTCAACGTCTTACTTTATTTATTAATGATAAAAAAAACTATTATATCAGACAAATATATCCTGAGTTCATACAAAAGCTGTTGATTTATGTCAATAAAAGAAAACTAAGAGAAGTTACGTTGTCATGGCAACGTCATGCAAGCTAGAGCTTTATATCCTGCTTGTGGCAGCAGACTTTTAAATGTACATAGTCTAATGGCAGAAAGGAGGAGGAAAAATGGCACAGAAACGCATTTTGGATATTTTTATTTTTTTGAAACCATCAGTGAAGAACGCTGATACCGCAACCACGACAATGGAGAGCAGCGGAGCCTCTGATGGCAGTTGCTCCAGCAACCAAAGCTAGCGTGACTGGATTAAACAAGGCAACATCAACTTCCTGCTCGGCTTTGCGGGTAATGAAATGTTCTCGTGGTCTGAGGCACCGGCTTGGTTTGCTGGATGGCAGTGGCTGCATGATGTGGAAGAGACGGATCAGATTTTGTGTTTTGTTTGTCTGGAAGCAGTCAGAAAAAAGTCATACCTAGAGACAAATTTAAGAAAGACGACCCCTTGTGAATGCCGGCTTTTCAAATAGACATAAAGCCACTGAGAATGTTTCATTGTGAAGTTTAATAAACTGATAAATGATTAATTTGATTATTGATGTCTGTGAGTTACAGACCCTGGTTGCGTGCACTGAAGTGAAGTGTCTTAGTAGTGAATCTCAATGTCTTTATTTATTGTATTTTAAATAGCCTATACGCTCAGGTATTTTGTCTATAAAAAATAAAAAAAAAAGGCAAAAAATGTTTACGGCATGCCCAATCATAATTACTCCCAGCGGCCCTGGCTTGGCCATCCCATGACCTCTGACCTCCACTGAGCTCTGCAGAGCTTTACATCTTCTGGGTTCGGGATCTGTAGACCTGGATCTGGGTCCAGCTGGGTTCTGTAGAGGACCGAGTCGTTTTCAGGAGGATGTGAACGCAGATTGGTGGAAGAGAAAAATAATTGAGGAACAAAGGGGAAGAACCGGGACCTGGATGGAGGAGGTCGGACCGGGAGGTCTGGTGTTCTCTCACACCAGCATATCCATAGGAATACACATGCATGCAGTCAGATCGCCATACGCTTCAAAAAACACCAAAAACTAAGCAATTAAAGTGTTTTTTTTGTGCATTACTAAAGGGATACACGCCCGTTGAGGAAGTTAAAAGTGTATTTAGGGAAGTGTGAAGTCAAATGAGAAAAGAGGAAAACAAAAAAACAAAAAAGTGCACTGTTTCACACGGACCTTTAAGAGGGACGGACAATGGAGGAAGGAGCAGAGGAGAAAGCCAGACAAAGAGAACAAAAGTTTGGGACTCTCATGATTAGAGATCCTGTTGGACTTGTGCAGATCTGGATGAACTTGTAGACGGGTGGAGAGGCAGCCGGTAAGAAAAGCTGTAATTTATGAGATTGGACTGCAAAGTTACCTATGTTCCTCCAGCCTGGCCTTCAGTTTGCCATTAACACCAATTAACAGCTGAGGAGGTGGATTGTGGTGCTAAAGTTGTTTGATTTTATGCTTGAACTTATTGTAATTTTGTTAAATAGCAAATTTTGGTGTTAAGTTTATCTATAAATTAACTATCAGATTAAGAAGAATAACAATATGAAACTATTTATAAAATAAAGTAGTATTTGTATATTTAAATAAATGTAATTGTAAATATTTATTTGAAATGTATTTGAAAGTTAAGGAACTTAAGTTTAGTTACTTGTTCATTTAACTTTAATGACTTTGTGGGTTTGATTCACAGCGGTTTGTTTAGTGTTGTACAGTTTATCATTTTCTTTTGTAGTTTAAGTGGAACTAATTAATGTAAGCTAACATACAAATCAGTATTTATTTTTCTTCTTTTGGGTTTGTTTAAAGGTTTTTACCTGCTTCTGGACCAATTGTAGATATATCCTGACACTCACAAAATAAATAGAGGATAAAAGGAAGAAAAATGTGTGGTCCTTTGAGTAAAACCCTGGTCAACAAAGTCTGCATCAATTTATCCATCCCTTTTCAAGTGGGGAAGCTGCATAAGATTAGAAATAACTTGACAGTAAAAACCGGCAAACAGTAAAAAACCAGCAAAAAACTGCTGAAGGAAAAAAGAAATAAGCTAATTGAAGGATCTTGTTAAAGAAGAGACAGTTACTGACATCAATTGTTTCCCTCATATCTGTGAACAACTGAGACTGATTTTAAAGATGGCAGAACTAGCTGATGGAAAGTCTGTTGAACAACTTAAGATGGAGAGAACGACAGCAAAGAGATTGTTAACTCGACTGATCAATAGCATAACTCGGATGCATGAGGACATGACTGAAGAAGAATTGAAAGACAGTTTCCACAGGCTCAACATAGAGGCTGGAAAAGTAATGGCAGCAAATGATGATCTTGAAGCAAGTCTCATTGCAGAAGTGGAATCCAAACTGAGTGAGGATGACGAAGCCACAGTAACTGAACAGCAGAGAGCTGACCTGGAAAAAACTGCAAAGGAATGCGAAGCAAAAGTAAGAGAAGTCAAATGCTTAATCCAGGAGACCCCGTGGAGAACCTTTGGAAGGACAGAACTGTTAATTGCACTTCAAGCAGCAGAATCAGAATGTGAACATGCTGCCACTATCAAACCAGGAGTGGAAAAGGAGGCATATGAATTCACTCTCAAGCACCTGAAGGAACTCTTAAAGGCTGCCAAAGAAGCTCATTGTCACTGGAAAAGATGGATCCCTCATGAAAAACGAGATGAAATCCAAGATCGGCTGGGAGGATTGGAACTTAGGGTCCCCAAGCTGGTTACCAGGACAGCAGATTTCATTCATGCAAAATTAAAAGAGGATGAAGGAAAAGAGGAGCAAAGTGTAACTTCCCGAAATTATTCTTTACCAACCATCAAGCTAAAACCAACATCTCTCCCAAAGTATTTTGGAAACAAACGTGAGTTTTACAGATGGAGAAGAGACTGGGAAGCACTTCAAAAACAAGGAGAACCAACCGGGTCAAAGGAGGTGAAAAAAGCACAGCTGTTGGACAGTCTAGATGAGAAAATCATAAGAGACCTCCGCTTAATCTCCTACAGCACTCCAGAAGATATTTTTCAAGTCCTTGAGAATCGCTATGGAAATCAGACAGCTATTGCAATCGAAATTGTGGAGGACCTACAGAGGATTCCTGCAGTAAGAGGTCACCATCCAAGAAGAATTGTTGAATTAATTCAATCTGTTGAAAAAGCTCTGAAGGATTTAAGTGACCTTGGAAATACTGGCGCCATTAAAAATCCTCTGGTGACAAAGTCCATTGAAACTAAGCTTCCTGAAGCTTTGAAGAAGGAGTGGCTCGTTTATGCAACTGATAAAAGGAATGCTGTTGTACCAGAGAATCGGTTTGATCATCTCCTTGAATTTCTGAAAGACCAAGAAAATATTTATGAGCAATTGGAGCAACTGAGAGAGGAAGAGCCAAGTAGACGAGAGACCCGAATGGAGCAAAGACACGCCAGAACCAGGTCTGTCAAAGCAGTTGATGACTTTGTGAGATGTGTTGTTTGCGGCGATGGAAAACACAGAAAAAGACTCTACTTTTGCAAACAGTTCAGAACATTAACATTAACTGAGAAAAGAGCTGCTGTCAAGAAGGTAGGGGCATGCAGTAAGTGTTTGGAAATACATGATGATGAATCATACTGCAAACCAGGGTTTTTGTGCAAGAATCAAAGCTGCAGGAGTGGGGATGATCCACATCACTATTATCTATGCCCAAGTGCTGAAGCTAAGAAAAGCATCACACCCCAGAGGAGGAACCGAATGGGCCCAGAAGAAGACAAAAGTAGCAAAAAGTATACAGAAGATCAAGAAGAATTTCTTAAGAAATTATCACCTGATTTGGCCAAACATTGCAGAGATGTATTTTCAAATACGGCCTCTAGAATTTTTAAGACCACTCAGAATCAGATAAATCTCCTGATGGATAGTGGCATGCAGGAACTGCCAGTTTTAATGATGCTTCTTGAAGTAACTGCAAATGCTGGACAAAAGATCGGCACATTAATTGATCTGGCGTCAGATACAAATTACATAACACACAAGGCTGCAAGCAGATTAAATCTCAAAAGTGAAGAGATCACGCTCATTGTCCATGGAGTTGGAGGGATGAAAGTTTGTGTGGAGACAAAACGTTACCTCTTGAAGATTCGTGTGAAAACCTCCAAAGGCACCCTTAAACCTTACCAGCTTGTTTGTTATGGACTCGACAGCATTGCAGACATTCATAAACACGTGAAGGCAAAGCAGCTGCAGAGATTTTTTCCAGACGTACCACTGGATGAACTTGAAAGACCCAGAGAAATAAGCTTACTTATAAGCCACAGGGAAGGTCAGTTGACACCACAAAGAATTAGAGTTGTGGGGAACCTTGTATTGTGGGATGGGCCCTTAGGAAAAATGGTTGGAGGAACTCATCCAGAACTGTTTGAGGAACTGTCCATGAAGGCTCATACTACAAAAACACATTTTGCAAGGTCAATGAGGACAGCTGCTGTGAGATATGAAGAATTAATTCATGAGATCCCACAGCACCCGCCATTAAATCCTCAGGTCTCCATCCAACTTAACACATCAAAGACTGCAACTACAACCCGAGATTTCTTGCAGTGGTGGAAATGGGACAGTATCGGCACGGCTTGTGAACCCAAGTGTGGAGGTTGTCGTTGTGGAAACTGTCAGCCAGGAGGAAAGGAGATGACGCTCGCTGAAGAAAGAGAGCTTGAGGTGGTGAAGGAAGGCCTCACTTACAATGAAGGAGACAGCCACACAGCCGAACCTCACTGGCATGCTAGGTACCCATGGTTAGAAGATCCAGCATCCCTGCCAGACAACAGAAATGCAGTCAAAGCTACATT